AGCCTTCCAAGTAGCTGGAACTACAGGCATGCACTACCACGCCCGGCTCATTTTTGATTTTTATTGTAGAGATGAGGTCTCGCTAAGTTGCCCAGGCAGGACTCGAACCCGCGGGCTCAGGCAATCCACTCACCTCGGCCTCCAAAGTCTTGGGCTTACAGGCTGAGCCACCGAACCCGGCCTTTACTGTTATTAATATAAAGTCTGTTTGATCTGATATGAGAATGGCTACTTTTGCTCATTTTGTTTTTCATTTGCATGGAATATTTTTCCCTACCCTTTTACCTTGAGTCTGTAGGAGTCTTTGTGAGTTAAGTGGGTCTCTTGAAGGCAGCAGATATTTGAGTTGTGATTTTTTTAAATCCATTTTGCCCATCTGTATCTTTTTAGTGGGACATCGAGACCATTTATGTTCAGAGTTAATAATGATATGTAAGGTACTATTCCATTCATCATACTGGTTAACTAGTTGATTCATTTATTATTTTCTCTATTGTGTTGGTGTTCCATAGGCCTGTGAGTTTTACGGTGTCCAGTGTTTTTTTACTGGTATATTTCAGCCTTTTCTTTCAATATTTAGAACTCCTTTGAAGTACTTGTAGATCCAGTCTAGTGGTGACAAATTCCCTCAGTGTTTGCTTGTCTGGGGGAAAGACTTCATGTCTCCTTCCTTTATGGAACTTAGTTTTGTGGGATACAAAATTCTTGGCTGACTGTTATGCTGAGGAGATTGAAGGTGGCGCCCCAATCCCTTCTGGCTTGTATGGTTTTTTGCAAGAAGTCTGCTGTTAGACTGATAGGCTTACCTTTGTGAATTATTTGATGCTTTTGTCTCACTGCTCTTAAGAGTCTTTCCTTCACATTAACTTTGCGTAACCAATGATTATATAACCTTTTTACAATGAGTCTTCTTGGGGTTCTTTGGACTTCTTGTATCTAGATGTTTAGATCTCTGGCAAGGCCAGAGGAGTTTTCCTCTATTATTCCCTCAAATAGGTTTTCCAAACCTGTTGCTTTCTCTTCTTCCTCAGAAACACCTATGATTTGTAGGTTTGGCCTTTTTTTTTTTGAGACAGAGTCTCACTCTGCTGCCTAGGCTAGAGTACAGTGGCACGCTTACGGCCACTGCAGCCTTGACCTGCTGGACTCAGGCAATCCTTCCTCCTCAGCCTTCCATGTAGCTGGAACCACAGATGTGTGCCACGACACCCAACTAATTTTGTTAATTTACTGTAGCGATAAAGTCTCACCAAGTTGCCCAGGCTAGTCTCAAACCCCTGGGCTTAGCCAATCCTCTTGCCTCTGCCTCCCAAAGTGCTGGGATTACAGGTATGAGCCATCATGTCTGGCCAGAGAAGTGTTATGGTTTTATATTTTCCCTTTAGGCCTATGATTTTACTTTGAGTTATTTTCTGTGTATTAAGTGAGATAGGGGTTGAGGTTCAATTTTGTTTTTTAAATTCAGGGCTGGGTATGGTGGCTTAAATCTGTAATCCCAGCACTTTGGGAAGTAGAGGTAGGAAGATTGCTCTAGGCCAGGAGTTTGAAACCAGCCTGGGCAACATAGAAAGACCCATTTCTACAAAATTAAAAAAAAAAAGTAGCCAGGCATGGTGGTGTCTGCCTATAGTCCTAGCCATGCAGGAGGCTGAGGTGAAAAGAATCGCTTGAGTCCAGGAGTTCAAGGCTGCAATGATTTATGATGCTACCACTGCGCTCCCGTCTGGGTAACAGTGAAAGCTTGTTTTTACTAAAAGAAAAAAATAAATAAATAAGTAAAATAAAATTGGCATGTCCAGTTGTTATGCCACCATTCACTGAAGGACTACTTTTTCCCATTAAAAAGAAACCTGGCAATTGAATTGAATTTCCTTGGCATCTTTGTCAAAAATAATTTGACCCTGAGTGGATAAACAGTGTGGTCTGTCCATACAGTGGAATATTACTCAGCCATAAGAAAGAATAAAGTACTGACACATACAGCAACATGATGGACCTTGAAAACATGCTAAGTGAGCCAGGCTCGGTGGCTCAGCCTGTAATCCCGCGCCTTTGGGAGACTGAGGTGAGTGGATTGCCTGAGCCCGCGGGTTTGAGACCCGCCTGGGCAACTTGGCGAAACCTCATCTCTACAATAAATCAAAAAAATCAGCCGGGCGTGGTAGCGCACGCCTGTAATTCCGGGTACTTGGAAGGCTGAGGCGGAAGGAGCCCAGCAGGTCGAGGCTGCGGTGGCCGGGAGTGGCCGCTGCACTCCAGTCTGGGCAACAGAGAGACTCTAACTCAAAAATAAAAAAAAGAAAACATGCTAAGTGAAAAGCCACAGATACAGAGGACCATAAATTGTATGACTCTCCTTGCATGAACTGTACAAAATACTTAAGTTTTTAGAAACAGAATGTGGTTGCCATTGGCAGGGGGAATAGAGACTGACTGTTTAATGAATATAAGGTTTCTCTTTGGGGTGATGAGAAAGTTCTGGTTCAAGATAGTGGTAAAATAAGAAATGTGCAAAAATCTACTGAACTGTATACTTTAAAATGGTACGTGGTATGTATACCACATACCAAAAAAAAATCACTTGACTGTATATTTCTGAATTTTTTTTTTGAGTTGGAGTCTCACTCTGTCAACCAGGCTGGAGGGTAGTAACATACTCCCAGCCACCACAGCCTCGACCTGCTGAGCTCCAGCGATCCTTCCGCCTCAGCCTTCCAAGTAGCTGGAACTACAGGCATCCACCACCATGCCCGGGTAATTTTTTGATTTATTGTAGAAATGAGGTGTCGACAAGTTGCCCAGGCTGGTCTCGAACATGTGGGCTCAGACAATCCTCTCACCTCGCCTCCCAAAGGTGCTGGAAGTATAGGCATGAACCGCCACGCCGGCCATATTTTTGAATTCTTTATTGCCTTTCACTGAGTTGCCTGTCCTTATGCTAATACCATGCTGTTTTGGTTTTTGTAGCTTTATAATAAGTACTGGAATCAGGTGGCATAAATTCAACTTTATTCTCTCCACCTCCCCAACTTCCCCCACTATGAATTTGGCTATTCTGGGTCCTTTGCATTTCCATATACACTTTAATATCTCCTTGTCAGTTTCTAGAAAAAAAAATTACTTGAATTTTGATAGGAATTTCATTATAGATCATTTTGAGAATAGACGTTTTAACAATATTGAGGCCTGTAATTCTAGCACTTTGGGAGGCCAAGGTGGGAGGATTGCTTGAGCCCAGGATTTTGAGGCCATCCTGGGCAACATAATGAGACCCTGTCTCTACAAAAAAAAAAATAGCCAGGTGTGGTGGTGTGCATGTATAGTCCAAACTACTCAGTAGGCTGAGTTGGGAGGACTGCTTGAGTCTGGGAGTTTGAGGCTGCAGTGAGCTATGATGGTGCCTGGGTGACAAAGTAAGACCCTGTCTCAAAATAACGACAGTACAAATGAAAACACCTCCCCCACAATGTTAAGTGTTTTGTGACTACTATAAATGGTATTTAAAAAATTTTTATTTCTCAGTTGTTTGGTGCTAACAAACACCTACAAGTTTTTGTTTATGAACCTGGCATCTGATTTGCAGTCTTCCTAAATTCACTCATTTTTTTCTAGTGGTTTTTTCTAGAGTCCCTAGAATTTTCTGTATACATTGTAATCATATTATCTGCAAATAAAGAGCTATACTACTTTTCAAATCTTTTTTAAAATTTTGTCTTCACTGATTAAAGTGGCAGTAATATTTTGCATTTCTGCTAGCAGTGTATGAAATTTCAGTTATTCTGTGTCCTCACTAGCACTTGGTATTGTTTGGCTATATATCTTACTGTGTTTTTTTTTTTTTAGTTGGAGTCTTACTCTGTTGCCCAGGCTGGAGTGCAGTGGCACACTCACGGCCATCCCAGCGTTGACCTGCTGGTCTCCGGCGATCCTTCCACGTCAGCCTTCCAAGTAGCCGGAACTATAGGCATGCCCTACCACACCCAGCTAATTTTTGATTTATTTTAGAGTCGAGGTCTCATCAAGTTGCCTGGGTGGGTCTCGAACCCACAGGCTCAGGCAATCCACTCGTCTTGGCCTCCCATAGTGCTGGGATTAGAGGCTGAGCCATCGCGCCTGGCCCTTATTGTGGTTTTAATTTGCATTTTTCTAATGGCTAATATTGGGCATCTGTTTTTGTACTTATTTTTAGCCATTGTATTTTTTTGTTGTTAAATGTTTATTCAACTATTTTTCCTGTTTTTCTGTTTGGATTGTCTTATTGAGTTGTGTGAGTTCCTTATATGGCCTGGATATACATTCTTATCAGACAAATGCATTGCAAATATTTTCTCCCAGACAATAGCTTATAGTGTGTTTTGAACGGCAAATGTTTTGTAGTTGATTAAATTCAATTAATTAATTAATTTTAATGGTTTGTTTTTTAATGTCCTATCTAAAAATAATTTGTATAAGGTCATAAGATTTTTCTGTGTTCTCTTTTAGAAATTTTATAAAAGTTTTATCTCTTGCACTTAGGTCTCTGTTCTATTTTGAGTTTTATTTATTTGTTGTGGCGAAAAGGTCTAAATCCATTTATTTGCATATTTGCATGTGGATAGCCAGTAGTCTCCACATTGCCTGTTGAAAAGACCGTTTTCTTTATTGAATTATCTTGGCTTCTTTGCTGAAAAGCAATTGGCCATACATATAAGCGTTATTTCTGGACCCAGTTCTGTTTCATCACCCTGTATGTCTTCTTGTGCTAGTACCACACTGTCTTGATTACAGTCATTTCAATTTATAGTAAGTTTGAAATCGGAAAATGAATGTTCTTTCTCTTATTTTTCAAAATTGTGGCTATTTTGAGAACTTTGCATTAATTTCCATATGGATTTTAGGCTCAACTTGTCAGTTTCTACAAAACAGCCGCTGGGACTTTGGCAGGGGCTGGATTTAATCTATAAATCCATTTGGGGAGAACTGCCATTGATAAGACTGAGTCTTATGAGCATGGAATATCTTTCCATTAAAATAATATGCTTTCGTGTACATACCTAAAGTTTGGGTTTGCTCATGTCTAAAGAAATAAGGAAAGAAGGAAGGGTGGCATTATGGGTTATGCAGACAAATACGTTTTATTGTTAAAATGTTTCTGCCACTATTAGCAGTTCTCAGCTCACCACCCTTGAGGCTGAGGCGAGTGTCTCACGTTCTGAGCTTCTCCCGTGTGCTTCCTGTTTCCAGATTCTGGGGAACAGGTCCTGGTGGATGTGGAGACCAAAAGCAATAAGGAGATCATGGAGCATATCAGAAAGATCTTGGGGAAGAATGAGTGAGTTGCTGGGTTTGACCTGGAGGGAGCAGACTTCTCACCCCAGAGAACTTTGGGGGGAAGAAAGGAGTACTTGGGGGAGGGTGTTGAGACGAGTCTCCTGCAGTGAGCCCCAGACATTATTAACAAGAGCTTGGGCTGCAGAATCAATGCTGGCTTGGCTTTGCTGCTCACCAGATCATTAAAACTCTGCAAAACTTTATTCCCTCAGCTGCGAAGTGGGGAGAAAGCTCTTCCTTCCCTTTTAAATGCAGCTGAAACACTGCTCTGTGTGCTGCTAATGCTTCTCCTCTTGGGAATCTCAGCTTGCAGCCAGCACGTGCCTAGCCCTGGGGCCCTTCCGTAAATGAGAAGAAGAAAGGGAGAAAAGCCAAGAAATTCTGTCTCTGAGAAACCACAGCAGCCTTTCTACTCTCCTTTTTCCTGTGATTGTCTGCCCAGAGTTGTGGGCCATCCCTTGGGCTGCAGGAAGGCTGTGCCGGGTGGCCTTGCTCCTATGGCCTGGGGGTATGACGTCTCTCCTCGGGCTCTGGGCTCTGGGAGTGAGAAGCGGGCGAGAAGGCAAGCGATTCAGGTCTCCCTGGCTCGTGGGTTCCCTCAGCCAAGTTCCTGCTCTGCACACTGGCTCAGAGTCACGTTGCTGATGCTTTGTTGCTGTGTTCTCTGGCAGAGAAACCCTCAAGAAAGAGGAGCAGGAGAAAAAGCAGCTCTCTCACCCAGCCAACTTCGGCCCTCGGAAGTACTGCCTGCGGGAGTGCATGTGTGAAGTGGAAGGGCAGGTGCCCTGCCCAGGCCTGGTGCCGTTGCCCAAGGAGATGACAGGGAAGTACAAAGCCTCCCTGAAAGCCGGTGCCCAGGACTAAGGCCCAAGGCCACCGTGGACTGGGCAGTTGTGTCTGGCCAGTGTGGAGATGGGCATGGGGCTCTTGGCCCCCAGGAGGCTCCTCGTCGTGTCCCCAGAGACACTCTGGCAATCTCTGCAGCACAAGGTCCCCTTTACACACTTGTGTGAAAGGACGTGGGGAGGGGAGCATCACAGCTGAGCTGCTCAATGAAAATTCCTCCAGTGGTCAATAAATACTTCCTGATCACTCCAGCGCCATGGTGTGTGTCTGGTCTTCACAGGCAAGAGGAAGGCCTGCGTGGTGACACCTGTCTTGGTCCTGCCACCCTTTCCTGGTCTCCGTTGCCTTCGAATCTTCCTTGAGACCTTGGTCTGGAGAACGTAAAGGCTGTTGTGGTTGAGTCTGGCTGGAGCTGCCTGTGGAGCCTTCCTTTAGGTTCTTTGGGTATTTTTCAGAAATCGAAAGGCAACCTTTTTTGCAATGCTCACCTTTGAAACTAGAGCTGATGACCTTGCCTCCTGGGGCCTGGCCATGGGCCACAGATGGCCCCCAGTGGCTGACAGACCAGCCTTACCCAGGCATGTGCCCGCTGGCCAGTCAGCTGCTGCCAGTCTGTGGTCCTGTCACTGTGTGCATTAATTAGCAGGGAGGTTTATAGGCCGCAGAGGAAAGAAGGCACCCCATGGTGGAGACTTTGGTGCCCTGCTTAGGGATTGTGTCTGGCTGGTTTTGGCTCACTTAGTCCTTGCTTACTAAGTTTTGAGAAAGGGTGTCATGTATTACTGAGCATCTTCCTAGAAGTTCCTTTCTCATGGGACACTGCTATTACTGTCACTTTAGTCATGCTGGCTTCAGCCCCCCGAAGACAGCAGAGTCCGTCCTCTTGGGTCACTGTAAGAATAGGTTGTAGCCGGGCTCAGTGGCTCAGCCTGTAATCCCGTGCCTTTGGGAGGCTGAGGTGAGTGGATTGCCTGAGCCTGTGGGTTCGAGACCCGCCTGGGCAGCGAGACCTCATCTCTACAATAAATCAAAAAAAAGAATAGGTTAAATTAGTTGAAAGTGAATGATCAGATGGACCACAGACCCCTGGAAACTCAGACAAGACCTGACTTTATGGACACAGGAAGACAGTGGTTAAAAGAACTGAAAAAAGATGTTGGGGCTTGGAAGAGCAGGCCGAAGTCTTCATTTCTCTATTTACTAGGGCCTTGGCCACGTCCTAAAGCGCTCTGGGTCCTTAACTGGTTTCCTTCTCCATAAAATGAGAATAAAGCCAGCATCTGTCACATTAAGTAGTTGGCCAATGAAATGATACAACTCTACAGTGTCTTTTTTCTTTTCCCTGAGTTGGAGTCACTCTGTTGCCCAGGCTATAGTGCACTCGACCTGCTGAGCTCAGGCAGTCCTCCCACCTCAGCCTTCCAAGTAGCTGGAACCACAGGCACACACCACCACGCCTGCTAAGTTTTTCTGAATTTATTGTAGAGACGAGATCTCACCAAGTTGTCCAGGCTAGTGTTGAACCCCTGGCCTCTGGTGATCCTCTCGCCTCTGCCTCCCAAAGTGTGAGCCACTGTGCCTAGCCTACAGTGTGTCTTATATAACTTTTAGGGACTATCACATTAAATTGGGCACAGTTGGCTCCTCTGGCATTTGATGCTCACGTTCTGGTTTGTGGTAATTTTTTCACCAGACCTGTGTCCAGGGTGATGGCTTGTGGGAGGCTGGGAAGGGAAGGTGGACATGTGGGTGTTAAACTGAAATCTGGCACCTTGTTCCTCCACTATAACCATTTTGGAGAGAGAGTAGAAAAAGCTATCCTTCAACTAAAATCCCTCCTGTGGGCCCTGGGTTCAGTCCCGCCTCCCCCCCCCCAGCTGACTGCAGCCTTAACCTTGACACCAGGTGACTGGGCTTTCTACTCGGCCACAAGGACTCTTCAGAAAACAGTTCCTTTTGGTCTTAATTGCCAGTTTAGGTCTCCATAGCCAGTGATAGAGAAAGCCTTATGGAAATATCCCTTCCCTGTATGGCCACAAGTGGTTGCTAACTAGCAGGATTGTCCTTAACCAGAGCAGTGACACTTCTTTAGAGAAATAAATGTCCAGTGCCTGGTGAGACAGAAGATGAGGATTTGGGCCAGGTGTGGTGGCTCATGCCTGTAATCCCAGCACTTTAGGAGGCAGAGATGAAAGGATTGTCTGGGCCCCACGGGTTCGAGACCAGCCTGGGCAATATGGTGAGACCTTGTCTCTACAATAAAATCAGCCAGGCATGGTGGCACAAGCCTATATAGTTCCTGCTACTCGGAAGGCCGAGGCGGAAGGATCACTGGAGCCCAGCAGGTCGTCGCTGGGGTGGCCGAGTATGCCACTGCACTCCAGTCTGGGGGAAAGAGTGAGACTCCAACTCAACAAAACAAAACAAAACAAAACAAAAAACTTGGGGTTTGAGTTCAGGCTTGACACTGGAGTGATTGGTTGTAGGGTGGACAGCCAGACTCTGGCTGCCAGGGTGACAGGAGGCTGAAGGGAAGTATGTGGAGACAGGCATAATTCCACCATTACTCTGCATGGATTGCTTCACAGGCAGATGGTGAGAGTCATGGAAGGAAAACACTACTTACTAGGAGGCATTACCTCTTTTTTTTTTTTTTTTTTTG